CACACACACACACACACACACACACACACACACACACACACGGGTGTAATCGTTCTGATCCCTCAATCCAGGTGCAGACACGCAATATCCGGTGTCTGCCAGATGTTCTGGTTATAAACTGCGAGGTGAACAGCGCTAAGGAGGCTGAGTTCTGGAAGGTTCAGGCGGAGGTAACCCCACCGAGGACGCGTTCAAAAGCTCCGCCCGCCACGTCCCCCGTCGGCTCCTGACATGAACGCAGTGTTTTTGGTCGCCTCCACAGTACGCTTTCAACAAGGCCATGCAGAAAGAGGCCACGGAACCAGCCAAACCCAGCGCCCCCCCCCCCCGTGCCAAACGAGTGGTGTTTAGAGTAAGTCTAGACCAAACAGGGCACCTCCATTTATGATAAAAAGTCATTCAGATCGTAAAAACAATAGCTTTGGTTTTTCTTTTTTAGAATTTTTTATACATCTCAGAATATTTCAGAAAAAAAAGGTTAAATAATGTTGTTTGAAAAACTGGAAACGAGAGAGATGTGGCTTGTCCTGTAAACCCCTGCTGCAGCGGAGAGGACATATGCAGCATGGAGGGCATCACCTTTGACACGCGGGCAGAGGATCTGCGACACGTCTGGATCCCTCTCACTCTCAAGATGTCCATCAGCAAAAGCCAGGGGCTGGAGATCAGCAGCTGGCCCGAGGCAGAGGAGGTGAGGGACACTCCGTTCTGGCCCCCTTAGCCGAGGAGGTTTTTCGCCTCCTGACGCTCAGACCCAATCACTCGCCTTCTCCCGCCAGCTGAGCGCTGCTGAGGAGGCGGAGGGGGCTTCTCTGTACGACCTGGTGGTCACGGTGCCCCACATCCTGGATGCTCGCACGGGAGGAAACCTGGTGGCCCACATCAAAGTGGGTGAGACCTACCACCAAAGAAAGGAGGTGAGCGAGGCCACGATTCACCACCACCAAAAACGGGGGCTCGGTATTGCTCAATTCGGTCACATTTTTCTTCTTTTTATTGATATTTTTGCTGAAAACCCCGTTTTTTTCAGGGAGTCACACACCAGCAGTGGTATCTCTTCAACGATTTTTTGATAGAACCAATCGACAAGGTAAATATTTGGATTTTGACTCATTGGACGGCGTGTTTGGCGCCAGTTGAAACGTCTCGCGTTGTGTTTGCCGAAGGCGGAAGCCGCGCAGTTCGACGTGGGCTGGAAAGTTCCAGCCATCCTGTATTACGCCAAGAGGAACTACCACCCCAGATACGACCTCCGGAGTAAGTCCGGAGACTTTAACCTCGGCAGGTTTTTTTCGCCCACGTCTCCATTCGTCAGCCATGTAGACGTTTTTTTTTTTTGTGTCGGTTTCAGTTAAAAATCCCATCGACGCCAGCGTGCTTCTGACCGAAGCCTCGCTGGCCCGGAAGCAGAGGAAGAGTCACGCCACCTTCATCCCCCTCATGGTCAGCGAGATGCCGCAGGCCGGCGATCTGGTGGGGCTGGACGCCGAGTTTGTCACACTCAATCAGGTGCGTCCACCTCCACACAGGTGTGTGCGTCAGGTGATCCGTCACTGTGTCAACTGACTCTGCGGAAACCGTGAGCTGTGAGCTAACCCTAACCCTAACCCTAACCCATGGCTTAAAAAGCCGGGCAGACACACAGACTTCTGTGAATTCAGTTAAGCCAGGCTTTAGGCTGGGAAGAAATAAAAAACAAAAAAAACATAGAGAAGAAGAAAAGTTCATGGACTAAAAAAAGACAGATAGCATAGAGACATTAGCTGGAAAATACACATTAGTTCAGTCACCTGCAATGCACTCTGGATGAAGAAGTTTTTGGGGTAACGCTAGCACACATTTGTACAGACGAGGTTGAATCATATTCAGTGCTTTATGAATTGTTAAAAAAAAAAACAATTCTATTTAGTGCCTTTACCTTTAAAAGGAGATTTGACATGATAGAAAGACTTTTGTAACAGAATAAAAATGTTTATTTACCATGACAGTAAAAAACAAAAACAAAACTGAATTAATGAAGGTAATAGGTAGATTCTTCTAACGCGCTCGGTGGCCGCTAACGTTTGCAGGAAGAGGCCGAGCTGCGCAGCGACGGCACCAAGTCCACCATAAAGCCCAGCCAGATGTCCGTGGCCAGGATCACCTGCGTCCGAGGCCAGGGCTCCAACGACGGCGTCCCCTTCATCGACGACTACATCTCCACTCAGGAGCAGGTAAAAGAAAAAAAAAAAAAGAGAGAAGAAGAAAAAAAGCGACAGCCGCAGTGTTCGATGCATCCGTCTGATCTAATTGCCAGTGCTTCCCCATCAGTGCCCGTGTCATGTTTACCAGTAGAATGCGTCATTTTGTTGTCACCTGTAGTTAAGAGTCAGCATGAGTGTACAGCTGGCAAGTGAAAATAAAAGACAGCAGAGGGTTTCAGGAAACCTGCTGTAGGTTCAGGAAATTCTGCAAAGTTAACAAACTCATCGTGAAAGGGATGAGATGGCTAGATTTTTCTCTTAGTCATGCTTCTGTTTTGAATTCACCGCTGACGATCGATTAGTTTCTGTTCTGTGGTCCATTAAGGCTCCCGCACATATACAGATAACCCCCCCTCTCCTTCCAGGTGGTGGACTATTTGACTCAGTATTCCGGCATCAAACCCGGAGACCTGGACGCCAAAATCTCCTCCAAGCACCTGACCACCCTGAAGTCCACCTACCTGAAGCTGCGCTTCCTCATCGACACGGGCGTCCGCTTTGTCGGCCACGGCCTCCAAAAGGACTTCCGGGTCATTAATTTACTGGTACGTCGTCTCTCGCCGCCCGCCCATGTCCGTTTTCAGACACGTTGCGGGGGGCGGGGGGGGAGGACTTAGCCCTGTGTGTCCACTGTGTTTAAGGTGCCCAAGGACCAGGTCATCGACACCGTCTACCTGTTCCACCTGCCCCGCAAGAGGATGATCTCTCTGAGGTTCCTCGCTTGGTATTTTCTGGGTAAATTGAGACGCACACACACACACACACACAAAAAAAAGTAAGGCTCACTCCGATGATGCGGTCATCTACATTTATCGGATGTTTTACCCCTGAAAAACACACCGCCTGATTCATCATCGCTCTGCGAATTGACGCCCAAAAAAAAAAAAAAAAAAAAGCCCCGGCCCAAACTGACGGAACATGATGAAGGTGTGATATTGTGTTTGGAAACATTCAACATGGTTTTGAGTCACAGAAAACAAAATAGAAAGCGTTTGAATGTGGGTTTCTCTCATGCTGTGTATCCTTGTCGACTTGGGAAACATTGATAGAGGATCTGCAAGGGCCCGTTGGGTAGGACGTGTTTTCAGGCCAACGTTAGGAGCCCGCCTCTCCTCCACAGAACTCGGGAATCCCTGCGCCCGCCAGTCCCGCAGCTCGCATCCCGACATTCCCGGAAATATCAGGACCTCAGCATGGACTTCCGCCATGCGAACTCTGACGATGAGTTGTTTCCTGTTTGTCCTCTTCCTGATGTCCGCAGACCTCAACATACAGGGGGAAACCCACGACAGCATAGAGGACGCGCGCACGGCCCTGCAGCTGCACAAGAAGTTCCAGGAGCTGAGTCGCGGCGGCGGGAACGACGAGGTCAGGAAGGTGCTGAAGGGGCTCTACGAAAAAGGCCGGCAGCTGGACTGGAAAGTACCCGATTCGGAGGCAGGAGACGGTCAAGGCGGCACCAAAAGTACGCCGAGACAGAGCTGGACGGAGGCCCGAGTTTGCATCACAGATGGGTGGACCCCACAGGCCGGTGGACTGACCACGCTTTCCTTCCTCCCACAGGTGCGGGCGTGTTTCCCTCTGTGATGGGCCTGTGATGACCCGCGGCCGCTCTGGAGAGGTTTCCTCACGCGTTTGCATGTGGATTTGCATTGTGCAATGTTATGGGGAGTCTGTACAGTCCACCCACTCCAGAAACAAAAGCAGCAGGAAGTGGAGTTTCTATTGTATGATTTCTACTGGATGGCTTTTTCTCAATTGTCCTTTTTTTTTGGTGCCTTTAAATGTACCGTGAACCAAGCTTTTTTTGTTTTTTCACCAGGAAGTGTAAAAAAAAAAACATTGTATATTTTACATGAAAACATACAATTCTAAAGAAAAATGGTGTGGACTTTTCTGAATGGGTTGCTTTGGTTCTATTATTTTTTTTAGAAGTACGTTTAAAATCTACTTCAGGGTCATTATGTTATGTTTGCAAAGATTTTTAACAGCGCCTAATTCCCAGCTCGGACGTTGTTGCAGAGGAACTTGAATGAGGACTTAGGGAGAAGACTCCGGTTACTCACTTACACTCTGTGCTGCAGCTCTTCCCGCTGACACGGGGTGAAAGGTACACGTGGACAGGTTGGTGGTCAATCCAAGGTCCAACTCTCAGAGAAACTTTGCAAAGGACCACACACTTTCTGTCTAATAAAGAATACACATGCAGGAATCATTTTTAGTTTTTTAAAATCAGGATATTGGTCAGTTTAGTGGCTGAAGTTCATTTCAATAATGCTATTTTAGCCAGACCACAAAAAGTTTCCTTTATTTTTTGCTGAATATTTCCCTTTAACTGCATTAACCACTAAGTATAAGCCTCTCAGGTAAAACAAAAGCACACTGGCCTGTGGAGCAACTGCTCTACCTGAACGTTTCAAACCTTTTCATCTTTCCCACAAAGCCTCAAACTCCACAAATGACATTTAACCTGTTGAATGTTGCCATCTACTGGACAAATCCGGCAGTGCAGCTCAACTTATGCCACAAATGCAGGTTTTCTCATATATTGAACAGACAACAACAGAACCCTTTTGGTTTGCTTGTACTTGTAATGATTTGATATCTTGGCATGTTTTTAAAAGCATAAGTGTGGTCCTGGCTCACTTAACATTTAGGAGCCCACCTGAGGGCCCGGGGGCTGCTGGGATCTCTTGCATCATCACGCAAGAACCTCTGCGGGAAAACGAGGACAATTGAAAAGATACACATTCGGTATTGCAAACTGTTTATTTGTAGTAAATGAAAAGTGTGCCATTCAGTGAGAGGGACAAAAAGAGGGCTGAGCAGTTGGGGACGGTTGATGTCTTTGGTCCATACTCTGGTGGAAGATGTCGAGGAGTCAGCGGGAGACAAGAAAAGGCACTTGAGTTTACAGTTGTCTCAGAAGAAGTCGGAAAAGGAGAAAAAGGTCTACTGGAAGAATGAATGAACTAGATGTTTTAATTTCCATTAGGTCTAGAGTATGAATATCACATACAAAATGCCCCATGTGAGCACAAAAAAAAAAAAAAAAAAATCATATAGCTACTTATATGTATATACAGTAAAGGAATCGGAAATGAAAGTGGGGTGGGAAGAATAGGAGGTGAGCGGTTGGAATGAACCCCTTTGGAAATCTTACAGGCTGAGGACAGGAACGAAAGCCGGTCGCTTTTAAGGGGATGAGATCATGTCTTTGGCGAGAACCTCACATCCCTCGAGTGTGGAATGTAAAACAAACAAAAAGAAATCTTGGTTAAAGTGAGACCAGTCGACACGACGACGGACTGGATCCAGCGCCTCAACGGAGTGAGAGCTGGAACAAGAGCAGGGCGCCTCTAAAGCAGGTTTTTTTTTCTTCTTCTCCCCTCATCATTCAGCGGGTTTCTGCTGTGCGACCAGGAGAAGTCCTGTGAGGTGCTCGTGCTGCCCAGTGGAGCACTGGGTTGTTGTACTGGGGGGAACTGGTTAACCTCCTGCCAGCATCTCTGAGACTCAGACGTGAACATTCAGAAAGCTACTTTTAGCTCATGCAAAACCAAAATAGAAACGTCCATTTGCTGTTTTAAGGGGTTCTGTGTGGACTACTCGTCGGGTCCGAGAGTTTCCCAGGCAACAGGAAAGCTTTTTCAGCATTCCAATTGCTGTTTTGGGTCCCTTTTTTCATCAATCACCTTTTTTTAAATCAATCTCTGGTTTATACATGCAGTAACTAAGTTAGTGGCATCAGAGTTAGAAGTGCTGGCAGGAGGTTCTTCTTCTTCTTTTAATTTGATTTTTTCCCCCAAACTTTAGGCATTAAACAGCTATTTAGGTGGTGGGCCGATGCCCTGACGACGCCATTGGCTGTTGCGACGACTTCAAAAGGGCAGCTCTACATTTCAATTTATGCCAAGACTCAACAGCGAGCGTACACAGAAATAAAATAAAAGACCCTATCACTAGACACACTGGGTAAATATTTAGCCTAATCGGAACTATTCCAGCCTGCAGAGTAAACAGCTGTTGGTCTGTTTAAATCCTCCAGCTGACCTGAAAAGCTAACGGCCTCCTCTGAGCTGCTCTGTGGAAGGCCTTCAAGAAATGTTCAGGACAGGGGGACTGGTGTTTGTCTCCATCAGAGCGAGCCAACCGGCTGCTCTCCAATAGAAGGAGAAAGCCAATCGAGCACACTCCTCCACACATCAAACTAGAACCTAATTCAAATCTAATCGGCCTGCAATACTCATTTGCATATTTTTCCTCAAACATATTGCGCTAATTTAACTACCGGAATAAATCTTTTTTT